ATATATATATATATACACAGCCACTGAAAGTCTTCTGGAAAGTTAAAAAAAACAGAAACCACAACTTTAAAACACCAGCTGAGGTAGCAATAATAGGCTACTGTATTTTGTTTGTCTTTGTAAAATATTTACCTTGTAACTGTAACATAGTGTTGTGTTTATTCGTTATTTATTTTGCACGAGGGTTGGGTTTAAAACAAAGCGATTTACCTGTTTGCTTTTCTTCTTTCATCAGGTTCCACAGAGAATTTGAAATATCCCAAATTTTAGGATGAGGAATTGCAATTTTCTGCATCTGAACACCTGAAACACTCGGAGATGTTTTCAAATCTATTTAATGTGTCCTTTTGACATTTATATTGTATATCCTTATATATTAATTAATTAATTTTATTGTTTATTTTATTTATTCAAAAAAAAAAAAGAAAAAATTGGGGGAGGGGGGGGTCAAATATTTTCCCTTAACACTATTTTTTGTAGCTATTTAAATAAATTCCATAAAATCTTTCCCCTCCAGTGTGATCTGATGTAGCTCRGCACTGATTCTGCAGCGTCACACCGTGTTTCCTCTCAGCAGCAGCAGCCGGTTGTTTACTGCGGATGCTGCCTGTCAGGGATACAGCAGGAAGGAGAAACTAACGCAGGTAAGACCGGACACTTTCACCTGACACCTGCTGCTAAGTCTTTAATAACTCTGATAAATGCCTACMGACTCGTAGTGGGCAAAACCACATTTTTCTTTTTGTTAGCCAAAGAAACGGGACAAACAGAAAAGCCCACATCATCAAGCAAGGCACCGACACCGGAAGTTGGGAAACCCAAAACGTGAATATACGCAATTATGTGTGATGTAAAACTTATTTTATTGATGTTATTATGGTTAATTGTGTTGTACAGTAAATCGTTCTCACGTGTTGGTAGTCATGACTAATATGAGCTATATTGTCAAGCAGAATTCAAGCAAAAAACAAACAAACAAAAAGAAAAACCTTTAATCTGCGGGTTGGATTCTCACACATAAAATGCTCCAGTTTAACAAAAATTAGGTTTTTATCACGATCGATCATAAACTGTATAAAGTATGTGAGAAACAGACAAAATAGAAGAAAGCCAATCTACTAAATATTCTCGCTAACATTTAGTTTTATTTTGAAAGGCTCAAAGCGGAAACGGAGCAAACGTTGTTAAATTTGACTTAGAAACGTGTTTAAAAAAACGCCGGCTGCTGCTGCAGTGGGACGTGTTGTGTCGTATTCGTTTTATGAGTCTGCAGGGTGTACGAAAACATCTGTAATTGTAGTTATTTAGAGAGAAAGCAAAGGATAGGGGAAAATATCACGAAACAGCAAAGGTCCGGTTAAGTACAACTTCTTGTTAAACCAAACATATTGTGTAATTAAGGTTTATCAATCAACTATTTTTTTAATACAAAAATGAGTAGAAGATCCTTGCATCAAGGTTCACTCAAATACTCCCATTAAAAAAAGGCAAAACGTGAAGAACAGGGTTTCTTTAGTCTAAATACCTGCCTGTCCTCTGGCTGAAAAACAAGAGATATAAAGATCATCAGATAAAAACATGCTGTTCATACTGTTGAGAGAGAAAATTGCAAAACACAAGAACATTTAGTTTTGCTCTTGATATTGGTTAGTTTTGTCTCTAAATCCAAGTTTTATTGCCTAACACGTCCATACTCACATTTTATATTTATATATTAAAATAAAACCCATAGACCCTATAATAATGTTTTATTTTTTTGTATAAGAAGTAACACTGAAGCAAAACCATCCACGAGCATCACTCTCCCCTCAAGTCTSTTTTTTTAATCCCCAACAAGAATGAACAAGTCAACAACGTAATCAACTTCCTGTTTGTATTTAAAGTTATTTTGGTCCTGCCTGCCCTTTTATAAGAAGCCTGAGGAGGAGGGAGGGGGACATGTTGTTGTAATTAAAGTCAGTCAAACAAACAGCTTCAGTTATGAAATTTTACACTGATAACAAACCTTTTCTCTGTACGAGCTGTCCAATGTTTTTCAGAAACTTCTGTTCAAACCGACTGTACATAAAGTCATTCACAAGTTCACTCCCACATTAATGGACTTGCACTTAGCTTTAAGACTAAATGAAGCACAAGCAATGACTCCCATCAGAGCAATTCACTGCTATTCAACTAATTAAATGTCTTCAGCCACCATATTCTCTCATGTTGGCAGGTGAAGTGAATATTTACAGTTGTGTTATTGTTTGGTGTTATCTGCAGACCAGTGTGTGGTGCAGTGATGTTGAGAGGTTGAAGAAGAGGCGATGGGATGACTGAACTAAAGCTTGTTGTGCCTCACATTCAGAAATACAAGGCACTCTTGCATGTCTTATAACATCTTTCCCACGTAGCCTGAACAGAACCACTTGGAGTTTAACCTGGCCAAGGATGAGGCACTAGTGGTGGACTTAAGGAGATCCAGGATGCCCTGTGACCCCTGTTTTCATCAGGAGGGGTCAGTGTGGAGATGTTGGAGGACTGTAGATATCGCACTCTGACCAGTCTAGTTGTCTTTTTTTTCCTGGGACCAGTGCTGCACAGTGAGGTACAGGAGTTAGACAATGAAACTGAAACACCTGTCATTTTAGTGTGGGAGGTTTCATGGCTAAATTAAACCAGCCTGGTGGCCAATCTTCATTAACTGCACATTGCACCAGTAAGAACAGAGTGTGAAGGTTCAATTAGCAGGGTAAGATCACGGTTTTGCTCAAAATATTGCAATGCACACAACATTATGGGTGACATACCAGAGTTCAAAAGAGGACAAATTGTTGGTGCACGTCTTGCTGGTGCATCTGTGACCAAGACAGCAAGTCTGTGATGTATCAAGAGCCACGGTATCCAYGGTAATGTCAGCATACCACCAAGAAGGATGAACCACATCCAACATGTTTAACTGTGGACGCAAGAGGAAGCTGTCTGAAAGGGATGTTATGGTCTAAAACCAGGTGTTTCAGTTTCATTGTCTAACCCCAGTATATTGTCTAGAGATGCTATCACAGGATTTTTCTTGGTCGGAGAGAGCGGTTAAATTGTANGAAAGGGATGTTATGGTCTAAAACCAGGTGTTTCAGTTTCATTGTCTAACCCCAGTATATTGMCTAGAGATGCTATCACAGGATTTTTCTTGGTCGGAGAGAGCGGTTAAATTGTARGAGGTGAGGACAAACTGGTAAAGCTGAATGMGGTAACATGACATGATAAATTTAAGWCAGCACATCAATGAATCTCAGTTTGTTATTGATAACCATTTGATTTGATAGAAATGTTTGTCAGTACATATGATCATAGGCAAAATCATGTTGCCAAGGTACACACCTCTGCAATGAATGATGTTTCTAATAGGCAGAAGATAACCAATGAAAAACTGCTATTTATATGCAATTCTACGCAGAAATCTAGGCATGATCAYTTGTTTACATTGACAACCTACCTACTTCTAATAGTACATCAATCTTCTGAAGCGGGAGTGATGTCTCTAGCCAATATGCCTCATTGYTATAGACCACGCATATCTTGGATACTACTACAGTCTACAAAAAGGGCCAGAGTTGTCTGTTTTTTTTTTTTTTTCAGAGACTGACACGCTCTTTTAACGTGTGTCAGAAGATGCTCAGGAGTTTTCTGAGTCTGTGGTGGCAGAGTACTGTAACTAAACCATTTCCTTTTGGAGATTATTAAAGTTTACTCAAATAGAAATGATTAACCACAGCTCKTCCTGTTGATGTACATCAATGAGACCTCCCTGTAGACAACACACAAACATTGCTTTTGTAACTTCCTACTTGACTGTTTTTTTAATAAATAGTGTATGTTCTGTTGCCTATTTTTATGATGAACATTTGTGCAACCAGTCTTTTGTTGCTTCTTCTTCTTGACATCTCTTTGGTATATAAGAGCTTACAGAGCTGGCTAGATTAAACWGGGTTACACAGACTTCTGTGAAGGTAACATGTGACTAATGATACCTCCGCTGTACATCAAACAGTACCCGGTAACACAATCCAGAGCCAACTGTTTCAAGACATCCTTGCATATCCTGTTCTAGTGTACTGCTGGTATTGATTTGGGGCTTTTAGTTCCTCTTCACGTCACCAATAATGACTCAGTGCTTCTAAATCTGTCTCAATAGGAACAAAGGTCTGAAGCATCCACAGCTGCTCTGCAGTTCCTGCTGGTACATCCCTGAGAACGGCAGCGCCATGGTCAACAGCGAAGGATCCACGAAGACGAACGGGAGCGCTGGTCACTCTTCCAATCAGCAGGAGCCTCTCAACGAGGCCATGGAGCTCAAGAAGGAGATCTCCCTGCTCAARGGGGTCAGCCTGATTGTAGGGAACATGATTGGCTCTGGTATCTTTGTCTCACCCAAGGGCGTGCTCCTCTACAGTGCCTCTTATGGGCTGTCGTTAGTCATCTGGGCCATTGGGGGTTTGTTTTCAGTGGTGGGGGCCCTTTGCTACGCTGAGCTGGGAACCACAATCACCAAATCAGGGGCTTCATACGCGTACATCTTGGAGTCGTTTGGCGGCTTCATTGCGTTCATCCGTTTATGGACCTCCTTGTTGATRGTTGAGCCCACCTGTCAGGCGGTTATAGCCCTTACGTTTGCAAACTACCTGGTGCAGCCGCTCTTTCCAACATGTGAACCACCATACGCAGCGTCCAGGCTCATCGCTGCGGCYTGCATATGTGAGTGTGTTTGAGCTGCCTCTGTTTGCCCAGCCTCTTAGGGGAACATTTGCTGAGTTGTCCTCTCTTCCTAGGTTTACTGACGTTTATCAACTGTGCCTACGTGAAGTGGGGCACGCTTGTGCAGGACATTTTCACCTACGCGAAGGTGGCAGCCCTCATCGTCGTCATAGTCACGGGCATTGTCAAGCTTTTTCAGGGTGAGTGGTGTCAAGATAGTCTTGAAAATGAGAGAAACAAAGGCGTGGATCAGTGTTGCAACATCAACGCATAAGGTCATGTTAAATGTTCAATGATTATAAACAGAATAGTCCACTTTGTCTTCATGTCAGCGTCTTTTATCTTCTTCATTGGTGCAAAGTTTACATTTTTGTTTTGTCCTGAGGACAAACYTTAATCAGCTACATCAGCTGCACCAGAATAACAATATACTGTATAATAACAACTGGAGTGGGTTTTGACCATGTGATCGACTCTAGCAGCTGCTGGGCTATACAGACGGGCCAAGACTCTGGACTTACTATTACTGTACATGTTGGCAACATYGAGAAAAAAAAAGACTGATGATGTATAAATCATAAAAACTAATAATAAGAATAATATAAATTGAATTATTATTAATATTTTAGAGTGTATATAAACTATGAAATGTATATACAAGTGTCAGAAAGCTTATGGATTTACCAATAGAAGAGAAGCAGGAAAACATCTTATTTCACAAGTACGCAAATTTTTTCTCATTCACCTCAATGTAGATGTGATCTAACCAGAGCTGAAGTTAATAATGTAACAGTTTAAAATAATAATAATAATAATAATAATAATAATATGCTTATAAAGTCGATGTAATCCCTCTTAATTATTGAATTAACTAGCTGATATTGGCATCTGTAGCATATATTTCTATACAGCATGTAGCATTCTGCTGAATCATTATACAATTTAGCACAAGCTGGTTATGCCTCAAATTTATGTAATATTTACATAGTGTAAAATAATATATATTTAACTTTTTTTAGGTTTCTATTAGACAAACCTGTGTCGACTGGTGCATGTTCATTATTATTATTTATGACAGGTAAGAAATAATAAAGATATGTTTTTACTATTTGAAATCATAATTTTTAAAGTTATTGACTTACTGGTATAGTTTTTGGGTATATACAGTACATATCTAGCTGTTTTATATAGTTGTTGAATGAAATTAACATAATTTAAAAAAAATTGTTGTAAAACATTACAAATATTTGTGATACAGATCCAGTTGTGCTTACAGTTAATCTAATAGTTGCTATAACTGTGAGCTATTTCACTGGTCGTCATTTTTGCTCCTCCATGTTGTCACAGATGGACGAGAGAGGCGGGACTCGTTCCAGTCAGGGGTAGACATAACCATTGTTTAGGTTGTCCGAGACAACCTATTTTCATTTCGGACAACCAGATCCTGTCTCWTGGTTGTCCGGTGGACAACCAAGAAAAAAAGACCTTGATTAAAGTTSTCTCCCGCGGGTGTTTGTCATTGTAAAAATGAGCGGGAGAAAAAACTTGGTAAAACCGAACAGAACACTATAAACTGTAACTTTTAATAAGGTCATGTACACAGTATACTTCTATTTAAGTGAAAATGTTTGACTTATGAGCAGAAAGAAGCTTATCAATGTTGAACTCTATTTCAAAGAAGAGAATGAGGACATTTTATTCATGGAGCTCCTGTCAACCTGGCTGACTGAGAACAATTACATATAATAAACTTCATCTACAGAACAATATACTTGTTAAATTACATTTTTCTTGAGATTCTTTTGGACAACCAAAATGTTTTGRGGACAACCACGTCTTGTCAACTGAAAATTTTCCTTATGTCTACCCCTGCTAGTGATATTTAACTCTACGAACAGCTATGAACTGACTCATACATCATTATTTATTGATGCATCAGTTTCTTCTCACCGCCTCCTTTTTAGGTCATACAGAAAATTTTAAGTCYTCCTTTCAGGGTTCGTCCTCAGATCCTGGTGACATWGCTTTGGCGCTGTATTCTGCGCTCTTCTCTTACTCTGGTTGGGACACCCTGAACTTTGTAACAGAAGAAATCAAAAACCCAGAGAGGTGAGCATAACGTTTCTGTACTTAACGCYTAATGTATTGGCAGTAGCAACTGAGACCAGTGAAATCAGCCCTAAATAGCTGAAGCGTGTTGTTGTTTTAGGAACCTGCCTCTGGCCATTGCCATCTCCATGCCGATTGTCACAATCATTTACATCCTCACCAACGTGGCCTACTATGCCGTTCTGGATGTCCATGCCATACTGGACAGTGATGCCGTGGCAGTGGTGAGGAAATTAATTGCTGATGGAATTAAAAAAAAAAGACGAGTGAGTGTAGTTACTGGCAGCTGTCTTGTGTTTTGTTTAGACCTTTGCAGATCAAACTCTGGGTGTCATGAGCTGGACAATCCCGATTGCTGTAGCTCTGTCCTGTTATGGAGGCCTGAACGCTTCCATTATAGCTGCGTCCAGGTAGGACCAAAATATTTTAATTCTATAGCGTCACAACACAACACAAGTACTTTGCAGAACAACCTGGTGACAGTTTTAACGCAGCCTGCTTGTGTTCAGGTTGTTCTTTGTTGGATCCCGGGAGGGTCACCTTCCTGATGCTCTGTCTATGATCCATGTGAAGAGATTCACTCCAGTTCCTGCTCTGATCTTCAATGTATGAAAAAGTATCCATTACGAACAGATTCTACAGAAAACATGGCAATTAGTTAAAGCCTCCTTTACTGCACAGCTTTGGGAAATCACAACTTTCACAAATGAATGGGCAGTGTGTTTGATTTGGTGACATCTAGTGGCACAGATTAGAAAACGCAACAATCTTAATCTCTTTCCACACACAAATACACTCAGAAAAAAAAAGTTAAGCACCCAGACAGAGTGGCMGTGTAAATGAAAGGTGTTAAACGCTCACGTGGCTGAACTGTAATGATTAGTGTCAGATTAAATGAACATGATGCACATTTGTGATTATTCTGAACCAAGGTTTAWCATTTAGAAGGCTTAAATAATGTGATCTTTAAATTGCACTGACGGCTGTGACTGGTAACTTGTTTCCTCTCTGTTCAGTGCATCATGTCACTGATCTACCTGACAGTTGAGGACGTTTTCCAACTCATCAACTACTACAGCTTCAGCTACTGGTTCTTCATGGGTCTGTCTGTCGCCGGGCAGATCTACCTTCGCTGGAAGCAGCCCGACAGACCCAGACCTCTCAAGGTAGCACAAAACCCTCCTTTATCCACATCTGACTCTTTAGCAAAGAGTAAACTGAATTAAAGGACAAACTGAGTCAAGCTCCTCCTGAATGTTTTTGACGTGCAGTCACAGCTCCAACAGAGAAATCAATACGAAGCAAAACAGTCGTCCTCCAGATAAATACAATTTCTAATTTTGCATAGAGCTAACAGTTGATGAGCACATTGAGGCACCTTGATCCATGGCACTACCTGGAACTACTTCCTGCCAAGTGAAAGATTATGTCTCTTATCTTCAACCAGCAAAGCAGAACGTTGTTAGAAAGTGTTCAAGAATGTAATACACAAATAATGTGCAGGAAACCCAATCCAGTTCTCAGATAAAAGGTTTATTTTTTACATCTAACTGCGTCTCAAGCTCAGAGCCTATGTTGTGGCCCCTGAGAGTAATCAGAACAAAGTGACTTCCCCCTTCTGATGCTGGTTATGCTTCCAAACCATAATAAATCACCCTGGTCACACCAGTAGGAGTGGTTCCTCTTAGGTCAGCATTGATATACTGGAAATCTTAAATATTATATTTTTACACTACTAAAGGGAGACATAGAGACARGTTYATTCTATCACTGTTTAAAGTAAATGACTAAAACTGACCACAAAGTATAATATAAGTCTGTATCTAAAACTCAGTTAAACAGTCACCTTCCCTTCAAAGTGATAATAGCTTAATCACCTTTTAAAATGAGTTTCAGTTCTGCTTGTCAAAGTGTAAAACAGGACAAGAACAAATGAAGAGAAAATATTTAGTGTTCATGTGTTCTGATGTCCCCCTCCTGCAGCTGACCTTATTGTTCCCGGTGGTGTTCTGCCTGTGTGCCGTTTTCCTCGTGGCGGTTCCTCTRTACAGCGACACGCTCAACTCTCTGATCGGCATCGGCATCGCTCTGTCAGGGGTTCCTGTCTACTTCCTGGGTGTCTATTTACCAGAGTCCAAGAGGCCGCCTATCATCGTCAAGCTGCTGCGTGAGTGTACCCCTCATCCAGCTCCCCGCACAAATCATTTAATGACGAGGTCGTTCATCCCAATGGACCAAATTTCGTTAATGTGTCGTCTCCTGCTGCAGGCTCCCTGACTTTCTTCACCCAGCACACCTGCTTCTGTGTTCTGACAGAGACGGACAAAAGCCAGTAGCTTCTTCTTCCGTTTCAGGACTTCAATCAGGAGCATCATAGCAAAGACACTCTGCAGTGAAACGGACAAAATGAGGCTCCCGTTTTACCACAATGAAGCTATTGGACTCCACTCAACACTTAAAAATGCTGCCACAGGTTCACACTAAATTATTATGGGAATTAAAAGAAGTTATTCTGCAAATACACTCACTGCCAAAACAAGTTAGGCACCCAGGGAGAAAGAGCTGTTTTAAAGATCTGTTCCCAGTCCCACACCGCGGCAGAAACTTGCAGCGCTGCGAGTCACTCGTTCCTTCACTTCAACTATTTAATAAATATTTTTCTAAGTTCTACAAAAGTCATCAGTTCCTCCGTGTTTACAAAATTATTAAAGACGTGTAAAAGTGGAAATGTCTCAGCCTCATGCGCCGCTGAAACTAACAGCACACGCGCGCACGCACCAACACCCACACACCGTTGAGTGTGGCAAACTCATTTTTACATCCCACTYCTTATTTAGACAGTTTTCTCACTCATTCTCCATTTAATGTACATTTTTCCTGCATCTAAAAATCATTTCTGATCCCACAGAGAGGACAATCTGAGGAGAATCTCACATGCTGGACATATTTACATCTACAGTATTTTACAGATTTAAATGGAGGCGTGTCAGGGGAGGTGTCTCTCGTGCGCTCAGTTCCACGTTCATTGGGATGTATGAAGGAAAGGAGCGCAGGAACCTGCGTGCGCAGTGTTATACATCTGAATATTGCGGCGCACTTTTCAAGATTTGACCGTACGCCAACTTTTAGTGTGAAAGCTGCGCACTCCTTTATGCARGAGGCCCCTGGTGTTTGTATCATGCTATGGAGCCTACAGATATCGGAGGACGCTCAAATGTGTCGTGAAAGTTCTGATTGCCCAACACAGACCGCACCATGTCTGAACAAATGGCATCAGTCAGACCACAGGTTCAGTGTCCCATGCTTAGGCTGCTTTTAGTTGAAATGTGGACAATATGACCAAGAAATATTGATTGATGACGATGAGTGGTGCTGTAGCATTTTTCAGTGATGAATCTCAGTTTTGCAACACCAGGATCAGATGGTTGACACAGCAGCACGAAGCGAAAAGGACTGATCGTGACAAAGTGGTGAAGAACACACCAGCGTTACCCCTGGCATTATTTTTTTAATGTAACCAGGCAAATCTTATTGAGATCATAGTAGAGCTCTTTTAAATAATGACATCTATCCACACACAGCGCGTGTGGCTATGAACTGCCTGCTATATGAATGTCAACAGACCCAGTGCCGATCTGCTGGATCTCAAAAACTACAGGAATTAAGAGGATTTAACAGCGGTGTCATCGTTCCACACCAAATCACTGCTGGTACTGAGGCCCTGTGAGAGCCCACCATGCTGACATGGGACCAGCATTGTGACTGTACTGCCACTTCCATTACTTGTTTCATGTAATAGTTCTCACCACTTCATCTGGGTGCCTTTTTTTTGTCAGTGAATGTAGTTTATCACACTATGTAATAACCTTCATTAGGAAATCTACATCAGTATTTAATAATACATTTAACATTCACCTTTTAAAACTACGTGCCTGTGACATTTTACTGGTGCTTTCTGTATAATTAGATACACAAAAGGAATATATTTATTTAAATGTTATGATTTGTACCCAGCTAAACAGAAATACTGCGTACCCTATGAGCAAGTGCTGTTAATCCGTCCAAAGACCTCTAGGAAGCTATCAATAAAAGGGAAGTTATTTATTTCACACATATGCACTGWAGAGATGATGCTTTTAAGCACTTTTTTTTCCTTCTATTGTATTGAATGACTGTTCCACCTTTAATTATAGACTATTTGCACTGTTACATGCTATGCTTTAAAAAAGTATTTCATTTCTACGATTGTCTTTCATAAGTGTCACTAAGGGCAACGGGTTTTGATAAATAGATTTAAAGGACAGCTTCTGTGTTGTATCACATTCTGATGTACCCACTAGTTTGTTCAACTCAAGTTTTAGATATTARGTGCATCCCATCTTTGCCTGGCCCTTGTCTTCATACYCAGTTCTGCTCAAAACGAAGGACAACGGTCTGGTTTTAACCAGGCTAATCCCATCTGTGAGTTTTCAAATTAAAAGATATCAAATTATGTGACCAAAATAAATAAAGCTAAATGCTGTCAGAAAATGTGAATTACAACTAGGATTACACTGGCATACCTCAGTTAGAGACTATAGGATTACACTGGCATACCTCAGTTAGAGACTATCATTAACAGATCACCTACAAAGCTGCAAATTACAGACAGAAAATAAATCAAAGGTTATGGTAGCCATTTGTGACTGTTGTTTTGAACAGAACCACTTTGCTCATCGCATACACAAAAAACCCAGACTAATATTTATTTTGAAAGTTCTTTGTTTACACATCTACATATTTACAAAAAAGATTTAACTCAACAAGCATTCAAAAAATAAAAAAACAAACAATCAGAACTTCCAGAGGACTGCTGAACCAAACTCACTCCCACAACGCACCACGCTTTCACATTATGCAAAAAATAAAAAAAAATAAAAGAAAACAGTTATTTGTACGCACTACCATGCACAAAATGCAAACATCCTAACTGCAAGCACACATGTCCTGACAAACCTCACTAAACAGAAGTTGGTAACAGCGTAAAGCGTACGAGGCATACCACACTAATGTGCAACAAGTCTAACACGCATCCACTTGGAACAAACACCCACGTACAGCCACTCCACCACAACTTCTAAATAAAATCAACAAGACAGACACTCTGGATCCTTCTGGAAATAACACCCACTCCTTCAGCATCTGTGTAGTAAAGATTCAGAATCATCAGGAAGCTTTATGAACCARGTATTTATACTATGAGTGTAAAGTACGATGTTTTACACAAGTTGCTGCTCTGTTGTGTGTGGGGGCGTTGTGTGAATGTTGCAGTGTTTCATTCGTTTTTAAATCTTCCTTCAACCACACAGAGGCCCTCAGAGTGAGGCGTTATTTGCGGGCAGACCACTGACCGAGGTGCAACAAGAAATAGATTAATCGGAATCAGATTTGTCTTTGTCGTCATCTTCGCCACTGCAGCCCAGCTCGTGCAACACTTCCCTCTGGTAGCGCTGCCAGCTCCTCCTGCTGTACGAGTGCTCCTCCTCCCAGTACCCTGAGKAGGAAACAACAAAAACAAAAACTGGTTTATCTCAGGCAACARGACTTAAACCATGTTTGAGCAGCCTATAGCCTGGTTAAAACTTCAGGAAAATTAAACCCACATGATCAACTTCAGTTATAGGTACTTTTACATGTTAGAAAACTACTTCCAAAGGGCAACAACAACAACAAAAAAGTTTATTCTTGAATTATAAATACTGAATTACGCAGGTCCATTTTATTATACTAAGTTTCCCATTTTTGAAGATAGAAATTTTCTCTTTTTAAATTCAGCTTTTTAAAAAGTGAAATGGTATTTTCAATTCTTAGCATCACCAGCATGCCTTGACAATTTTTTCCTCTCACCATTGTCATGTTTATAAATGTATTTCTCATTTTCCTGCTTTGGCCTAAGCTGCAGAGAGCAACTGCAGAAAAACCGAAGAGCCACATCCGTCCCCAGAACCACGTGTTGCAGAATGATGACGTACATAATGCAGTTTCTAAGTTATGTCACTCRCTCCTTCAGTTGGCCCTGCCTCCCTTTCATGTGAAAAACACTAAAAACTTACTTTTATTTTTACGAAAGYGCTGAAAGAAGAAATCCTGTGTGGCAGCACTTTATCCAGCCTCATCAGACAAGGCTTGGTTAATAAATGGTTTTTTTTTGTTTGTTTTAAATTAAGACTTGTGTAACATTTGTTATCATTCTTATTTTTTCATGTTAATGGAGGAAGGAAAAAGCAGTATCGGCTTCAAGAATTGGTCAAAAAAAACGGCTGCATGTATCGGTTAGACTGATGTAAAAAAAGATAAAATTAAAAAAATCGGTATCGGCCTTCAAAAACCTGTATCAGTCGATCTCTAAGGAGTGATTGAAATTCATCAGTTATATATCTTTCTTTCGCTCTCTCTTTTTGACTAAAGTGACATTTTATTTGTGTCCTAGCAATTTTAATCTGCACAATTATTCTTATATACTATGGGTTTACTAGTCAATTAATAAAAGTACTTTGTGTTAAAAAATACCAACTGCCATGACCGGTGACTTGATATGATCACAGGATACATTTACGAAATTGTTTAAAAAAAAAAAGTCACATTTAGCTCTACAAAACAGACACATTCAAAATAAAATTTATTTTTATGCAATAAATATAAAAACATACCTCCGTAGCGCTCCTCTCTGTCACCGTCTCCATCACTCTCCTCATCAGGGTAGTCATTCCTCCAGTTACACTCTTCATTCTCATCATCCTCGTCATCATAGACTTCCTCTTCATGAACCACAAGATCAGGGACCTGCGACAAACATCACATTTATTTGGATGTTTTTTGTACTTCAGTTTATGGGTTTTTATTCAGCTGCATGGAAAAAGAAGAAAACCACAAGAATTCAATGAATTAAATGAAAAATAAAAAAACAAAGTCTCTGTTTTTACAGTCCTGTGGTTCTTTAAAAAGAAACTTTAAGGCGTCCTATAAATCAAAACACTATTAGCCTAAGTAATATTCAATCCATCAGTCACTGCTTTGGTTTTATCAAAACATATAAAACGAAAACAAAAAAGGAAGTTCTCACTTTATTGTTTTGAATTTTTACCACTCCCCCCCCATTTTTCCAGTCACTCACTCCGATTTCAGCACTCATTCATCTGTCCGTCCATCCATCCACACACACCAGTTCTCCCTCATCAGCGTAGGCCCTGACAGACAGGATGTCCTGGATCCAGCCTGGTGTGACAGTTTCCTGGTAGTACAGGTCGTAGACGTAGTCGTCGTCCTGCACCCGATGCTCCGCCCCCAACTTCTCTCCAGATATGCTCAAACGCTCCCGAAGCATCTTGGTGTTGTTGCAGAGAATCACTTCTGGGTCTGAAGGGAGCACCTTTAGTGGAAACAATACAAAAAAAGGAGAGATAAAGAAGTGTAAAATCTGACTGATGTTACAGCTTTTAGGGCCTCATTCTGATGACAACATAACAACCACAACCAACAATGTGACTGACTGAAAGGAAACACCTTTGAAGCCTCATTTAGGAATCTGTTCGAKAAAAACTGTGGGGCTTTAACCGAGACCGATTTGTGGACAAATAATAGTGGATTTTYGGAGTTTTTTTTTTTTTTTCCTGGAGAGTACACTCCAGCAGGCAGAAACCTGTGTAGTGATTTATACTGCAGCACTGCGCGGTGTGTCTCAGGGACTACGAAAGGTGTGTGTGAAAACAAACGTCGAACCACCACCTGACCGTGCATCAAATGTTCAGCTTCGGATGGTAAGTGTGAAAGATTTAGGAAACTGCGGGAAAATTACGAGAACTTCTAAACATCTTCTGTGGCAGTCTCATTGAGACTTGAGTATCATGTACCTTGTGAGGAGGTTTGTCCTGGTCATCTTCTTCCTCGTGAATGAGATCCACAACCTGAATTSCTTGCTCACTCTCCTCTCCAGCCTCAGAAGCATCCGACTGTGAGGTTTGCTGCACAGCAGGTCTGGACAGTCCCGCGCGGTGGCTGGACACTATTCTGTAGCGCTCCTCCCTCCGGGTGCTCCACTTTGTGTTCCTCAGGTCGCCGATGATTCGCTGGGAGCTGGCAGCAGAGGGGCGAAGAGCGTGGGCCATCCGGGGACGGGCCAGAGCCTGCCGAACCTGCGTCTGCACAGGAGCATCCTGAGAGGGATGGGAGGGGATTATTATTGGAACTTCAGCAACAACAAAATCTAATCACTGCTCCAGGTGTAGTTCATTATTTGGCTCACTCATTACAATAAAAGGAAAAAGGTATTTTTATATGTTTGTGTGAGCAATAAACTATGACAGAGTATTAGGGCTACATGTTCCTGATCCCCCCTCGTTTTCCTCATTTTGTGTCAGTCTGTTTATGAAGTAGTCAACATCTGTAATGACTTTAGGGTCACTGTTAATATAATATGTTTTCARCCAAATMACTTGAGAKTGAATCTGTCAATGCAGCCATTAATTACAATTCTGCTTCAGTTTATTACAGTCGTTTGCACAATCATTTCAAAGTCCTGCTACTAATGCTGATGTGCTAAAAGATGTAAGCATTGTCTTTAAACCAAAACACAACTTCACAAGATGCTCAACATTCCTCATGTTAACGCAGTAGCAAGACTGCTTTTACATGTAGGAGTTCTCATAATATTAAAGACTTTATTCTCTTATTATTACGACTTGGTACTTGCAATAATACGACTTTACATTTACGGCTTTAATCTCGTAATATTATGACTACATATATTATTATTATACATTACATTAAAAAATTCGTTGTGTGGCCCTAATTCGTTGTTGTTGTTATAAACAAAATCAGCTGACATGTCAGTTCAGGCAGAAAGCTAACAAGCTAACAAGCTAACTCGTGTGTATATTTGTATAAAAACACTGCACCGACAGTTTATCCTTTGGAGTGTGCTACAAATTAACGCGTTTCGAAGAATAGCAGCTTCTTGTTGCTTTTCAATGAGGTTAAGCATTTTTTTAAATTATTGAGTGAGAATGAGTCGACGTTAGCTGAGCGCTGTGCTAATGTTAGCGTTCATGCTAACAACAGATCGGGCTTTGTTAAAAGGCAGAGGCAGCCGCCACTTCTMATCCCGCTCACAAATGTTCAGCTTTACAGAAAACGTTTGAGCATTTCAACAACTTTACCCAAATCACCCTCCCACGGTGCCCCCTTTCTACTGCCAGCTGCGTGCTCCGTTTGCTAACCGTGTTTAGTCCCCTCTGCGGGGCCTCTCACCTGTGTCGATACGGTCGCCACGAGTTTGAAGACAGAGTTTTCCACCTCTTCGGCTTCATTGGGCTCCGGTACCGTTTCCACTACTGGGCTCTGAGACGATTCGGGCCGAATCCGTTTGCACGCCAGCAACAAAGCGTCTGCGGGGTCGGTCCCCCTTTTTCTTTTGACTCGTAAGATGGTCGTGTTTGGATCCATGACGCTCGTCTCTTCCTGGCCTCTGCTCAGATTTGTCTTCGTATGAAAAATATGCGCGAGCTGTCGCTCCGCTTTAACTTCCGCTTTTTCTTCTTCTCTTGGTTTGCTGGCAGAGGGCGCATGACCTTAAAGCGCACAGCGCCACCTAGCGTGCAAGGCTGTGCCTCATCATGACACAAAGATTTTATTGATGAAAAAAGAGCGTCTGTCCTTAAAAATAAAATAAAATCTAGAACCAAGGATTAAAAAAAGACTTGAAATAAATGCTGAAATTTTAAGTTGAGGCCTATATGCATGTTTTGACTTGGGACCACACTGTGCCATTACACTTTGTTTCGGGTGGATMTCACCTCATCACCCACACAACAATTTCCTCCTTAAAGTGACACATTTGGTGACGTTGCTTTTAAAATATTTTTTCTCTTCAGTTCTTAGCTGTTAAAACTTTTCTGCAATTCAGAAACCAATGACACAAAGTATGTGTGAGTGATGCAGCTCTAATACCGCATCACCCATAGTGCTCCTGCTTTATTAAATTTGTTTACCAGCACATCAAGTATAAATAAGCAATATTTTTAAAATAGAAATCGATGCACACCTACATTAAGACCAGCAAATCTCTACTAAACAGAGGCAGGTCGTGATGAACCTGCAGAAACAACAAGATGTAAGGTTTTACTCACATTCAGGGATCAAATCTGAACTACACAACTAGAGTTCTGTCTTGTAGTTTGAGAAATATTTTTAAAAACAAAATGTGACATAAATAAATGCAGAAATTATTGATTAAAAAACTCAATCCATCGGCAGGGATCTTCAAAACTACACAAACCTCAGAACAGTGCAGTTTGAACTCAACACAAACTCTTTATGACTCACTGCCTGAACCTGCACGTTTCTTTAACTCTAAAACATGTCCTCTGGAGCAGACAGCAGTGAAGGGTCTCCACTGTTCCCCCGGTGTTGCTGACGCTCGTCTTCTTTTTCAGTCTCCACTGAAGGTTCGGTGGAGGAAAACTTGGTGGTCTCCATCTTTATATCTAGGAGCTCCGTCTTCACAGTGGACCCGAGCTCCATCTTTACTTCATTTCCACGGACGGTGTCTGGGACCTGTTGGTCCACAACAGGTTTCACATCTTGAGGAGCTTCTTCTTTAAGTGGCACTGTCTGCTGAGCATCTGCAGAAAAACGAACATTACAGACAACTTTAATTTTGTGTATCTACAACCATATTATTGCTTTATGTTGGCTAAATCCAACTTTTGACTTCAGTTATGTTATTCTTGTGTTGTTGGCAAATCATATATACACAAAGTTAAATATAAAAAAAAATGTCTCCCAAATTTTGTGTCTTTTTCAATGAGTTTCTAATCTATGTAAAAGCCCTTAAAATATTGTTGTCTACTATAGCTAAGAAACTTCTCAACATTATTGAAGAACATAATTTAGCAGTTTTGTAGCCTGTTTTCAGTGTTTTGTTTTATTTATATATTGATTTTTATTTTATTTATTTTCTCTTTTATCTGTTCTGCACCTATGCCTCTTTATTTTGTATTTGAATATGTATTTGTAACACTACCTTGTTTGTATAAAGCTTTCAATTTAAAAAAAATATCCCAGTATTGCTAACTAGGATGATGCTAATCGTGTTCGTGCTAACACTATACTGGTTTCAGAAAAAATAAGTCTGTTGTTTCATCAAGCTGATAACTAGTTGAAACTGACTAACATCATTACATTTGAGGTGAAATAGACGCCAAAAACCTTTTCTGTTCAGGACGATTCTGGGCTGAATTTGAGTCGCCATGATTTTATACTTCAGCTCATTCTCCCTCATCTGAGCCAGTTTGTCTTCGTACTCCGCTGTTGTTCTTTCAAAGACCCTCAGAGTTTCTTCAAAGGCCGCATACATCGTCTGTTTCACCTGCTGCTTCCACATCTTGACTTGTCTCGTTGGGATTTTCTTTGACAGACACGAATCCTCCATGAGCTGAAGTTGAACTACTTTTCGATCCCGCGTTCACCCGCTTCTGTTCCCGCTCTGCAAGTTAGCTAGCAGTTAGCAACCAGTTAGCTGCCCGTTCACCCGCTTCTGTTCCCGCTCTGCAAGTTAGCTAGCAGTTAGCAACCAGTTAGCTGCCCGTTCACCCGCTTCTGTTCCCGCTCTGCAAGTTAGCTAGCAGTTAGCTGCCCGTTTACCCGCTTCTGTTACCTTCCCGCTCTGCAAGTTAGCTAGCAGTTAGCAACCAGTTAGCTGCCCGTTTACCCGCTTCTGTTCCCGCGCTGCAAGTTAGCTAGCGGTTAGCAACCAGTTAGCTGCCCGTTCAACCGCTTCTGTTACCTTCCCGCTCTGCAAGTTGGCTAGCAGTTAGCAACCAGTTAGCTGCCCGTTCACCCGCTTCTGTTACCTTTCCGCTCTGGTTAGCCAGCAGTTAGCAATCAGTTAGCTGCCATAGCTTTCCTTGCTAGCTGAACTGTAAGCTGATAGTTACGGAAGTACGGAAGAGCACTGTGGGTTGCCGTTAGTAAAGTTACACAGTCAAAAATTACGGACAATATTTTTGTTTTATTTAGCCTTTTAAAAGAAAAAAAAGAACAGATTTATTTTTCAAAGTCAGTTTTTCAC